ACGGACATGGGACCTGAAATATTATTTACTTCGGAGCAGAGGACACCCCCCTACCTCCCGTGCAGGCTGGGTTTGGCACGACTCTTACTGATTGATAGGCCTTTCAGGAAACAAAGACCGCGAGAGAATTCAACATGCTCCTGGCTCGGGGCCAAGCCGGCCCCCTCGCCTGTGCTTTCTCGAGTGTGTCTTTTTGTCCGCCTTCACCACTTGCAGGGCGCCTCTGCCTTCGCTACCAGGGGGAGGCAAGTGTGTATTTGTGGTGTGTGTGTGTGTGCCTGCACACACATGCACACACCCTGCTTTCTCCGAGTCCGGCTCTCCTGGGGGCAGGAAGGAACGAGGGATCAGCCACAGCTCCCCCACTGACCCTTTCCCTCGGCCCCTTGACTTGGAAGCCAACGCCTAGGATTTTTTTGCCAAGCCCAGAGACAGATGAGGGCCTTCTCAAGGTCACACAGCAGGCCCAGGGCAAGGCTGCCAGTGAGACCAGTTCTCCACCTTCTCCTGCTCCGGCTACACAGAACCGCTGGGGCGTCCTGGGCCCACAAACTGCCAGCCCACCTCGGAACTTCCACCCCCCGCCCCATCTTCTGCTATGCTCTCCTGGGAGTTCCTCCTAGTGACACCAAAGAAGCCCAGTGGGGAAGTGACAGAGAGAATTTCTTGGAAAGGGAACCAAAATTTAGAGCCCTAGAGGCAAAGAGCAGCCAGGAGAGCCTGGGGGGCCTCTGGGAGTTGGGGAACCAGGACTATGGGAGGTCACACGGGGTGGCCACAGGCGGACCAATGAGCTGGAAACACAAGCTGCCCCCCCCCCCCCCACCCCAGGCAGCTCCTGCCAGGCACGACGCCCATCCACACCTGTGGGGACAACCCCTCACTTGGGTCTCCCCTGCCACGCCCCTAACCTAACCCCTCCAGTGTCGGGGCTCCTGCCCTGGGCACACAGGTTCCAAGTTCTAAGTAGGATGGCTTCCCAAGCCCTCAGTCGCTCAATGTAAAGTGTCCCCAGCCTGGGAGGAGGGTACTGAGGCTGAGCCGGGGGTTTCTGCCATGGCTGGGTCACTTGGGGGCCCCTCTGGCTCTAGCAGGCCAGCCCAGGGCTCAGTACTGCCCTCCCGCAGCCCTGGAGGGAGGCTGCCATGGTCCTGGCTCCAAGGCCCTGCCTGATCCATCTTCCCAGCCAGGGGCTCACCGCCATGACAGGACAGGGCCTGGCGGCTGTGGCATTTGCCTCTGATCCCTGCTGGCCGGGAGTGTGTCAGGCGGAAGATGAAGAACGGGCATGACGCTGCTGCCCCAGAGGCCTCTGCCGAATCGCAGTTCAGAGCTCAGCGGCAGCAGCCCTGCCTGGAGCAAGGAGGAGCAGTGGGAGTGTCTGGGGGAAGGCTCAGCTCTCCTCTCTGCTCTGGGCCCTCGTCAGCAGGACCCTCAACCCGCATTGCCTCCCTGTCTGCCCAGAGACCCCACTCCCTCTGACAGAGGTAGGACCAGAGTAGATGCTCAGGGTGGGTTCTTTGGGGCACCCCCTCCTTGCTCAGCTGGGGAGAGTTTGGGAGTGCTGGGGATGACGGGGAGTCTCCCAAGGCCCCAAAGTTTAGAAAAATCAGAGGCCTATGGCAGGGGCGTCCTCACTCTGGAAAGGAGATCAACACCTGTAGGATCCAGGGACCAACCAGTTCGAGCCTCCAGTCCCTCTGATGGGGAAACCAAGGGCAGGGAGGAGAGCTTCCCCCGACAGGCCACCTAACCAGAGTGTCCAAGAGGGGATCTCCGCCCCCCCCAGCCCACACATATGTGAGCTCCCCATGCCCGAGTGTACAGAGGCTGGGGCAGTGGGCGCTCCAGCCTGGGACAGGGGCGACACTGACAGGGTCACCAGCTAATACTGCCCCACCCTGACCTCCTACCCAGCCATTCTGCTGCATGGAGGCCGGTGAGGAAAGGCCAGGGTAGGGCAGGCTCAGAAGATCTCAGGGCCCTAGTGTCCAAGGCCAGCACGTACCTTTTATGCCCTGAAAGCACCTTCATGAGAGAGCTGGGGTGAGGCCACCGCTGGGGCAGGGTGGCACTGTCTGCCCCTCTCCCCAGACTGTGAAGCAGGTCAAGTTCTCCGGGGCCATCTGAGTCTCCACCCTGTATCTGTTCCCCTGCCTCCCATTCTCCTTACCACCCTAGCTGTGCCCACCTAGTAAGCTAATAACTTGCAACTTTGCCTCCAGAACGAATTCTCCTGGGGGTGGCGTTAAACACGACCAGCATCTCATCAGTTAAGCCAGAATGTCTGTGGCCCAGTCTCTATTAGGCACAGCCGCTCAGACAACCAACCAACTTCTCCCACCTGCCGCCCCACAGACACTGGTGCTCAGCGCCTCTGCCTCTCTCAGGTCCTGCTCATGACGTTGAGTAGCACCAACTCTGGGGCTGGAGGCTTCGTGGTTACCCCAAGCGCTGGGGAAGATGTGCAGACCACGTATGATCACCGCCTTCCAGAAGGGGTGAGGGCTCGGGACCCACAGCCCAGAAGCACCCCAGAATAGGGCAAGCGATACACCTGAGGGATGTGCAAACGGACTGAGAAGAATTCAAAGCTTTCCCTGGTTTCAGGGGGCCCTACTGTCTGCAAAGGCCCCAGGCCCTGGAAAGACGGAGTTGAAAACGCCAATTTGAAGGAGCTTTAAGACTAAGACGCATGCTCCCTCTGGTGGTGACAAGGGGGATTGCATTCCCTTAGACAAGGGTTTTTTTGTTGTTGTTGCTGTTGGGTCATCAAGAGTCATTCATCCAACCGTTCCCAGGCTTGGTTGTTCCTTGTGACCCAATTTGTGCCTGAATTGTGAAAAATCCCAGAGTGAAGTGAAAGTTCAGTAGGTACCAGTGCATGTGACCTTTGTGGAGAGGGAACGGAAAGTAATCATAAAGGCCCTGAACCACAAACAGGTCACAGACCTCAGAATGTCACTTAGATCCGTGGCTCTCAGCCCAGGCCACTCTCCGAGGCCACGTGGGAGCTTGTTAAGCATCAACTTTCGTGGGCCCCACCCCAAGAGTCACATTCAATAGGTCTGGAGGGAATGTTGGTGTCGGGTCGTTCCAACAGCACCATGGATTCTCTGGAGTACATAACCTAGGACCCATAGGAGCCTCACATTTCACAAGGGTGGAGGGTTTGCAGCAGGAATGGAGAGTGGAGTGGCTCACCTAGGACCATTTCCCCTGTGGAACAGCTAGAATGCCCCTCCTAGTTGGCACCCTCAGAGGTCGGTGTATAGAACATTCTAGAAGTGTTAACTCCTCTCCACTGCTCTGGGCCACAGACCTAGAACACCCCCTCCTCCTGTCTGGCTTGCCGCTACATCCAAGAAGCTTCAGGAGTGAACCTCCTCGGGAAAGCACCCCTGGCCGGGCCCACCCCGTTCCCATTCATTTCTCCCACCAGGATGGACAGGTCAAGTATACGCTCCATCTTGTGTATGGGAATACTGAATTCTATTTAGGGGTGTGGCCCGTCCCATTTTATTTGTCTTTGGTGAGCCCACGTTTGGAGCAGGGTGTCGCAAAAACCTCGGCCCCAAGGTGTAAGTAGCCAGGCCCTCTCTCTCTTCCCTTGGCTTTCCAAGCCCACAGGGGGTCAGTGGGGAATCTGCCCACCACCCTCAGGTGTCAGTGAGAATGCTGGAATGGGAGTTGGAGACCTGGCTTCTAGCTCTGGCCCTGATACAGGCCGGTTGTGTCACCTGGACAAGTCCCTGCCTTTCCTATGGTATCAGTTTCCCTTTCTGAGAAGTGAAGCTTGTCTCTTTCGCTCCCTAAGGACCTTCTGTGTTCGAGCTTTCTGTGATTCTGTGAGGCTTGATGGTCTTCAGGACCTGGGGGCTGTGGATTTAGACAAAGAACTGAATTTGCAAGTGGAACGGTGGTCTGCTCTGCCTCTGGCCCCCAGATATACCCTGTTCATTTTAAATTAAAAAGAAACTTTCTTAAATTTTTATTCTAAGTAGGCTCCACGCCCAGTGCGGGGCTTGAACTCATGACCCCCCTGTTCTTTGTAAACTCCACTAGCTCGCTGCTGTCTGGGTTCTCCTGCCAAGTTCTCCCCTCCCCTCCCTGGCAGGCTTACAGACCCAGATGAGGAAAACGGACACTAGGTGGTGTCGAGATCCTGCCACCCCATCCCTTTGGCACGGAAGAGCAGGAGAGGGAAGATGGGCTCCTTCTGAGTGCAGAAACTGCCAGAGGGGAACATACTGTGCCGCAAGGGGGCCACAGGCTTCAGGAAGTCGGGCTCTGGGCAGATAGGCAGCCTGACACCATCGTGGCTCCAGCGGCCGGCAGCTGGCTGCCTGCCAGAGTGCACAGGGCTGGAGGAGAGGGTACCAAGGTCCGCACCCTCCTTGTCCACTCCCTGGCCCTGGGATTAGCCAAGGCAGCACCCAGATAGGTGGAGGAGAACAGGTGCAGTGGGGGGCTCCCAAGCCCCAAGAGTGGAAAGGGAGCAGCCTGAGCTTAGCACCAGGGTCAGGAGGTGGGTAGCGAGAGAGCATGTGCTGAGGCGCACACCAAGGCCCCCAGGCCCACCCATCCTGGCATGCTGGAGTTCCTGGGAGGTGGCAGAGCACGTACTGTGGTCACGAACAGCTACTACTTTGGCTGCTTGGGGCACATCTGCAGGAACTCCCAGGGCCTGTAGCAGATACCCAGTAGCAGCACCCAGGGCCTGAGCAGATACCAAAGCAGCACCCATTTGTCATTGACCTTCACACTTCCCGGCTTTCTCTCTGCCTGGGGTGCGGAAGGCAGGCTGATTCCTCTGTCCTCGGGGCTCCTGGCAATTCAAGGGGTAAGGAGAGGCCTGCAGATGGCGAGTAGGTATGGGCACCTGAGCAATTCATTGAAAAACAAGAGACCAGGCTGTATTGTACTCCAGCTGGGAAGGACAAGTGGGTCGTGGCAGGTACGGGAGCGAGGGAGGGAGGGAGGGAGGCCAGGGAAGGAGCTGTGTCTCTGAGGCTGGCTTTATTGTTAACATGAGGCAGCCTGGGGTTGGGAGGAGGCCATGAAAACCCAGGGGTCACCTGGAGCCTGGTGCTTCCTTCAGCCCAAGGGCCTGGCAGTGCTGGGGACAAAGGTCTACAGCTCAGGGAAGGCTTCCCAACGCCGCCCTGCAAAGGGGGGTACGGCTGACTCTGCAAAGACAAAGACAGGATCTGGGTTGCAATGGGGGCAGGAGTAGGGATTTTTCTTTTATTCCTTATTCATCACACCTTTCTCTTTGCCCCCTCCCTTGGCCACACACGCCACACCCGGCACTTGGCCATCAATCAAAAAGCCAGGGGGTGGGCGGCAGACCACCTGGCTGGTGGCTGGAAGACCCTGAAATCCTTCCCGGCTCCGTCCCAAGCTCTCCCTGATTTCTTCACAGCCATCCCTGGCTCCCCCCTCACTTGTCCCTCCCCAACTTACCTGTCATTACAGATCATCATCATTGACTTGCCTGGGGCGAGGGAAGGGGCAAAAGAGAGGGAAGAAGTCAGAGGGGGACGTGGTGAGTCTCAGGGTCCCTGAGGTTGGGGACCCCTCCTCACAGGCACTGGAGACCAAAATCCTTGGCCTACCCCTCCTTTCCCCCCGGTGTCCCCACCCCACTCAGGGACCCTAAGCAGGCACTCACCGGTGCTTCTTTTTGCCCCCACAGCGGAGTCTTTTGCCTTGAAGTGAGAAAGGAGATGAGTTTCCATCAACCTCTTGCTTCCAGGGACAGCCTCTCTGCCCGGAAAGAGGCAGCCCTGGAGCCTTTACTCCCTCCCGCCCACCACAGCCACAGTGGACCATTTCTGTCTTTATATAGGGCTGGGCCTTAAGCATTGAGTCAGTCAGTACATCTGTCAGTCAGTCAACAAACATATACCGCAGCAGCTCCGTGCTAGACCGTGAGCTCGCTGAGAGCAGTGGCCGAGCCTGGGTCATGGTGGTGCCCCCGGTATAGGGCCAAGCACATAGTAGCTGCTCAATACGCTCTTGGAGGAGGAGGCCAGAGCCAAGATCTCTGCTCAGGCCTGTCTGCCTCCTGCACCTATGTGCTGGACCACGACCCAGTACCGCCCACAAGGCCCTTCCAGCTGAGCTGGGGAGAGCAGCCATGTCTGCAGACGGAAGCCCTCAGATGGAATGGCACCAACCATGGGCGGGTTAGAATCCCAGGATGCAGAGGTGCTTGTGTTTCTGTGTATTTTTCTTCTGGTTGCACCAAACCAAGTCAATGAGCATTTACTAAACCCCTGCTGTGTGCCTACTGGAGCTCGGGGATATACAAGGACCCATCTCTCCTCCAGAACACTCTTGGCCTGAGCCTGAGTACGCCCTTGGCTGCCATGCTAGCCCTAACTTTATGAGACAAGTAGGATCATCCCTATTTAACAGATGAGCAAACTGAGGCCCAGGGAGTTAGGGATCCACACACAGTAAACTGGCGACGGGGTCGAATGTCTCTGGCTCCCAGCCACACTTGCTTTCCAGCAGTCGGCGGGATGGGGTGGGAGGGTGGACACCCCTGGGTTCAGCTGAGCTCAGCTGTGCTTCTGATTGGCTGTGGCCCCCTGGGCAAGTTGTTGCACCTGTCACGGTGGGTAGCTTTTCCTCTGTAAAATGTGACCCGTAGTGGCCATCCCTCAGTGTTGCCAAGAGGATTAAATGGACTGAGATGCAGCTCATGCCAAGCAAGGAAAGTGCCCAGATCTGGCCAAGGGAGGTATCCAGTGGAGGTTGGTTCCCTCCCCTGGCTTGAACCCCGTGTGCTGGAGTGTCCCCCGCTGGCTGGACTCAGCTAGCTCTCCCCTCTCAGCAGCTCCTCCCAGGGCCATCAGAGGGCGCACTGGAGGAAAAGGAACCGTCCTCTGTGTGGCCCAAGGACCAAACAGGGAGTCGTCCCAAGAAGCCTGTGTCCATCAGGGTGTCCGTCAGTTCCCACATCCTGCATAGGGCAATGGAGGGGAGTGGAGAGACTCACTCCCTTCTGGGATCTGGGAAGAGGGTGAGAGGGCTTTCCCCCACCCCCGCCTGGGCAACCCGTGCTCAGTGGCTCTGAGAAGAGATATGGCCCCATGAAGCAGCCCGTTCCGACAGCCCCACTTACTGAGGATGATAATGAGCCCCATGACGAAGGCCAGGGCAGCAAAGATCAGGCCCCCGTTGCGGACAGTCTCGTAGTCTGAGGAAGGAGAGGGCAAGGAGGTGGGGTGGGTCATCCCAGGCACCCTTCCCACATCCCACCCCAGCAGCAGCCCCAGGCTACCAGGGGAAAGTGGTGGCCGTAACCAGGGGATGCCAGGAACCAGGGGTCCGTGGGTGGCGGCAGGCTGGGGAGGGTGGCCCACCAGGCTTACCGTAGTAGAATGGGTCCACATCGCCCTTGGGGCTGCCACCTGAGGAGAGAGCCAGAGGCAGGGTGAGCCAGCCACGGAAACAGCAGACCTCCCATCCTTCCCTTCCCAGCAGCCCCGAGGGTCCACGTGGGCAAGAGGAGGCTGGTGGGCCTGCCAAGGCCACTGACAGTGGGGGCATCTGTCCTGGGCCGCCTCGGAGACCATCAACTTGGGACCAAACACCAAGCATCCAAACAGGGTGCCGTGCTGCCTGTGGGGGCCTCCAGCAGCTCTGGGAGGGTTGGATCTTTCCTCTCCTCTCTTCCTACAACCGTAAGCAAGGCCATGGGAGACATTTCCCATTGGACCCATGGGTAGCCTCCCTCCATGTGACTAATCAACGGCAAGATGCGTCGCAAATACTTGCGGAATGAATGAACGGAAGAGGCCCTTCACTTCCACTGAACAGAAGGAGAAAACTGAACCTGTTCAAAGTCCCCCATGAAAGTTGGGGGCAGAACTGGGTCTTGGGCTCAGGTTTCTAGATCCTTCTCTCTTATGTCTCCATCCTCAAGGGGAAGCAAATTCTTTTAAGAAATGTTAATATATAGTGTTTACCACACGCTAGGTGAAGGCTAACAAAACGTTAGCTCATTTTACTGTCATAAGCATCCCGTGAGGCATTAATATGATTCCAGTACAATCCCTAGAAGCTGGAGGCACAGAGAGGTTAAGTAACGCCCCCACAGTTACACAGCATAAAGGGGAGAGCTGGGACTTAAACCCAGGCAATAGGTTGCCAAGAATCTGGGCGCCTAACCCCTTTGCTACATTGCCTCTCAGATGGTCAGAAGGCATGAGACACTTCAAGGCCACGTATGGTCCAGTCGCTTGCGTCCTGTGGTGTTAGCCCACCCAGCGTGTTGCTGCTCAGCGCCAGAGGTCATAGCTCTGCCCTCCAGCCCTGGAAACTGAGCACACTTGCCTTTGGGCAGCCCGAGGGCACCTGGCCAGAGCTTTGCTGCCATGGTGGGGGTTGGCCCCTCTTTCCTACCCTCTTTTGGGCCCCTTCTCGGCACTAAGGAGGCAGTGCCTGAGGTAGAAGGAATGCACAAGTCAGCACCTCCCGGGTTGTGCTGAACCGTGCCCTGGGTGGTGGAGGGCCTGGGGCCCTGGGGAGCCCAGGTGTCCCCTGTGCAGCCTCCCTGGCCAGAAGGGGCCAGTGCCTGGGCCTCTAGGGGAGGGCTATGGGGACCCAGGAGCCTGTGCCCATGTGGGAGCCCAACAACGTTGTCTCCCAGATTCAGTTCTTGTTGAGGGTGACACGGGCAGTTAGCCCCAGAGCCATGACTAGATTGGCGGCTCCCCTCACCACCACTGGCCCCACAGACGCCACCCCACCCCAGCCGCTGCCCACCTCCTCCCTCGTCCCTTGTCTTGAGCCCTTCACTGAACCCACACCCACCCAAAGCCCTCGTCTTTTCTAGGTCTGACTCAAAGCCCACCACAGTCAACAGAGGCCCCTGTTGGCCTCCAGGCCCGAGTCACCCCCATCACGGGATCCTTCTGGGGGTGTCCCTCCACACTTGGGGGGCTCTGGCCCCAAAGCCAGCCTGACCCCCCTCCACCTCCCGCTCTGAGCTTAGGTAGTCCAGAAAGATACATTGAAGCAGGAAAGGTGCCTGCCAGAGAGTCAAGATAGGAACTCATCCTCGCCCCCATCCCCCAGCTCCTACCTGGCACCCCAGGTTCTGCCATTCAAGCTCTATTCCTTCAGACTTAAGGCAGGATCCTCTTTCTCAAAGCAATTTTTTAAAATCCTCTTAGGAGGCTGGCAAGGTTGGGGGAGGGGTGCTGCGGTCCCCAGAAGGCAGGGGTGCCAGGGGTCCAGCTCATCCCTTCAAAGGTGGTCCAAGCAGAGGCCACCTCCTGCTTCACACACGTACACACACACTCACCGTCGTCCGGGGACAGTGCTGCCATTCCCCTAGCAGACCGGGCTGATCTGCCTCTGCTCGGGGGAGAGTACCTGGCCGCAGGTGGCCGGGGGAGAGGTGGGGGCATTAAACATTAACAGTGCCAGGTAATGTTTACCCTAGTCACGAGAGAAGCCCTCGTGTGAGCGGAGGGGCTCCCTCGGAGGCAGGAGGAGGTGCGTGTGCACGCAGGGGCAGGGACGAGCTGGCTGAGTTTCCAAACCCTCCCGAAAGGAAATTTCCAGAGAAGGGTCAGGGATGGGTAGGCCACAGTGTTCTTCCACCGGCCGGAGAAGCCGTGGCTGGGGCTGGGGCACGGGGGAAGTGGGACTTTCAAAATATATTCAGTGTCTGCCAGAGCTTGAGGGGCCATGTCGGGGGCCCCACAGACGCCACCCCACCCCAGCAGCTGCCCACCTCCCCGACCACTGCGGAGACCACAGAGACCTCGGCTTCAGCTGCTACTTCTGACCCGGCACCCGGGGCTTCCCTGCGGCCATCCCCAGGCACCTGCCCCCCTCCCACCACAAGGCCCACCCTGAGCCCACCGTGGGCGTTCACGCCTCCAGGCCTGAGCTGCCCCGTTCCTGTTGTTTCTTTCACCCATCGGGGCTGCATCCAGCGGCTCACACCTCCGTCAGAAAGGCTCCAGTCACCCCTAACTAATCTCTCTTTCCCTGCTGCCTCTGGCATTTTCCTTCTGCAGGCCAGCTGCTCCCATGCCGGCTTCCCAGGTTGCGCTGTCGGCTCCTTCAGGAAGGGGCCAAGCCTATCACCCGGGGAAGGGCTTGCTTTTCTGACTCACAAAGCACTTGCCTAACTAGTATCCCCTTGTGCCTTGTGTTATTTCCCATTTTACAGATGAGGCATCCTAGGCACAGAGAGGGTAGGGCCCTGGCCCCAGGTCACACAGCCGGTGAGGGGCAAGGTGGAGGATGGACAGGCAGGCCTTAGGCTTTAGGAGTCAGATGCTTTCCCACACCTCCGAGGCTGCCTCCCCACTCTGCGGCGGCCTCTTTCACCCTGGAGACCCCAGGGCTGGGTACTCCATGGGTGCTCGTATTCCTGGCTGAGCTCTAGTCCATTGAACTGGCCTCCAGAAGAGGCTAATGTTCAATGGTAGCCAAGGGCCCAAAGCCAGCGGTCAGTGTCCACCAAGGATGGGCTGCTCCTTCCAAAGGGAATGAATCCCTCTGTTAATCCCCCTGGAGTGGTTGCAGGGGATCAAGGTTTGAGTTCATTTCCCGGCCCCTCCATGTGCTAAGTAAATGGCCTCTGTCGAGTCACTGAACCTCTCTGCACCTCAGTCTTCTTGTCTGTAAAATGGGACTACTCCCTGCCTCAGGGAGTTGTTGTGCAGAGAAAGGAGATAATGCATGTGAAGAGCAGGGCACACGACCTGGGACACAGCAAGTGTCACTATAGTTACTGTCATATTTGTGTCAACTGGAAAATAAAGGGCATTCACGTTTTGTTGAACATTAACTGCTGGATGCAGGAAAGCCAAGCCCCCTCCAGCGAAAATCAGCATGGGGGTGAGATGGAGAGAGAATGTCATGGCCAAGGCCCTGCAGCCCAGGAGCTGTGATATCCATTCCACTCTCTGCTTTCAGAGCCAAGCAATGAATATTCATGAGAATATTATAGCACAGCTAATGCTTAGTAGGGGCTGACCATGCGTCAGGCTCTTTATTTATTTTTAAGATTTATTTATTTATTTTGAGAGAAAGCGAGCGAGCAAGTGTGTGTGAGCCAGGGGCTGAGGGAGAGGGAAAGAGAATCCCAAGCAGACTCCCTGTAAGCGCGGAGCCCACGCAGGGCTCGATCCCACCACCCTGAGATCATGACCTGAGCTGAAACCAAGTCAGAAAATTAACCAACTGCGCCATCCAGGGGTCCCTTGTCAGCTTCTTTATATGCACTGTCCCACTGAATCCGGTCTTGCTCCATTCTACGGATGAAGAAGCTGAGGCTGATCATTTGCTCCCTACAGTGAGACCGCCGGAGGTGGCCAGGACAGGGCCATGAGCCCCACCGGGCAGAACAAGAAGACTGAGGGCAAGGAGCTTGAAGGATTGGCCTGCAACATCCAAATAGTGACAAAACCAGGGCTAGAAAGCCAGACCCCCAAGGCTGTGCTCACAAAGCTACTGTCGCTCTCTACACGGGACACCAGTGCCCCTTACTACACATTCTCTCAGTATCTTAGTGCATTTTGTCTATATTTGTAAGCTACTGCGGATTCTGTCTGCAATAACGGGTATAAAAATGGGTGGAAAGGACAGATGATAGATGACAGAGGGAGGGAGAGATGGTGGCAGAAATAAGAAAAACAAGTTGTTATCTGCATTTTAAACTCGACGTGCAAGGCCCTGTTCTGCGCATGTAACAAAAATGAAGCATGTGATAATCACAACAACCCTGAGGTAAGGAAGCCATCATCAGGATGCCCATTTTAGAGATGAGGACACCGAGGAGAGAAGTTAAACAACTTGCCGGCGGTCAGGCAGCGAGGGAGTGGGGAAAACAAGATTTGAACCCAGCAGCCCGGCTTTGGCATTCCTGCAGAGGGACCGGTGGCTGGACAGGCAGACAAGGAGGCTGTTGGACAAGCTGTCTTCCTAGCTCCTGCAGCTCAGAGATGCTCAGGGCAAAGATCCCCACACGTCCAGGACTCCACTTGAGATGCCCTTGTTGAGAAATCCTGCCTGTCCTCGCTTCGGCTTTCCCTGCCCTTCTGGGGAGCAGGTGGCTGCACCTCAAAGTGAGGAGGTGGACACCCGTGTCCGAGTCTGAGCAGGCGGGGGGCGTGGGGTTCAGGGGACTCACCCAGGTACCACCTGTCCATGGCAGGAGCCGCCGGCGTGTCCTCGGTGGACAAGAGTGGCAAGGCACGGGTTGCCAAGGGCCTGGCTGGAAAGTGCGGCTCTCCTTCCCTCCACACCTCCTCCCCCTCCCCCCCTGGGAGGGGCAGGAAGAGACAGAGTCAGGGAGGAGGGCTGGCAAGGGAGCCCTCACCTTGTGCCAGCCCCACCCCCGCCAGCGGGGATGGGCTGGGCCAGGCATCCCCATCAGAGGGTCTCTGACTTCCACCCGAGGAAGGGGGAAGCTGGGAGCCACAGCAAAGCAAAGCCCCAGCACCCCCACAGGAGCGACACCATAGCCAGCGCCCTTCAGGAAGCCTGGAGTGCCTGCAAAGGCCACCCTAGGGGTGACTGAGGGAGACCCCGAGGGCCATCTGTGGGCCCCCCCAAGCCTTTACGCAGCTGCACCTCCCCCGTCAAGCCCAGTAGGGCCTCCACCCCAATATGTCCTGCCCCCCGGTCTCATTCTGCAGCCGGCGTCCCCTGAGATGGGACAGAATGCCTGCAGACCCCTCGGCAGCTGCCCTGGGTGGGGACGGCGTGCTTTTCAGGGCCAGGCCTGAGGCTGCAGCTGCAGGTAGTAGGGCCCACATGGGCAGCCAACCCGTCCTCACGGGGACCCCTCCCGTAGCCCCAGTGACTCACCAGCTGGGATGTCAGACCTGCCCGGCAGCAGCCTAACGCAGCCTCTGAGGGCTGCTGGCTGGTGCCAGAGGGGGACGGCCGGGAGACAGCCCTTCGGGTTCCAGGGAGGTGCGGCCCCCTGCCTTGGCTCAGCCAAGTGTCAGTTCCTGGGGCCACCCGGGCCTCTGAGGGCCTGGAGCAAAGTCGCAACAAGTGGGCTGGGTGTGGCTCACTCCGGAGCACAGGATCTCCCTCGGTGACTTGGGGGCCACCCTACTCGGCTGCCCCAGAATGCACACTGAAAAGCAGGGTTTGGGAGGTGCTGCTTCTGGCCCCTGGCTCTGACCCCCCGCTCCAGTCAGACAACGACTTGCCGCTCTGTCCCTCCTTAGCAGAATCTCCTGCCCCGGGGGGCTGACTAATGACACCCCCAGAGAGCCACCTCCCCGCTGGAAGACGTTCTGGAAATGAAGAAGGGCAGGCCTGGAGGGGCGTGATCTGGAGGGGCTGAGGTCTGTCCTGAGGGCCCTGCCCAGTGGCCGAGCTGCTCCCACAACCCGGCCTTGTCACATGATCCCAAGTGGAAACCTGCACGTTCAGACAGCTCAAGGCTGTTGAGCAGAAATTCTCCAAGCCGGGCACTGGGAGAGATTCAGAAATCTCGGCGCTGGATGACACTTCAGAAGTTACTTGGTCCAAACATATCAGTGGTTCAGAAATGTGAAGATCTCAGCCAGAACCCCTTTCACAGCCTCCCGCAAACACACACACCTACACACACATTCTGTGTTCCCTACCAGCTCCTAATGCTGCAAAGGAAGGCATCTTGATCCCAGTTGGAGACCCTGTGTCATGGACTAGCTAACTGGAAAGGGCATCCAAAGTCATCCTACCCGTCCCCATCGTTTATAAAGGGTTCATTCTCCTGCTCCAACCCTTTGAGGCCTCAGAGAATAAACCAAAGTCCTTTTTGTGTCCTATAGGACACTTCTTAATCTGGCCCCAATGACATCTTTGACCTTGTCTCCAACCTCCCTGTTCCTTCTCTCTGCTCCAGCCATACTGGTTTCCTTGATGCTCTTCTAACCCTCCAGGCATGCTCCTGCCTCAGGACCTTTGCACTGACTCTTCCCTCTTCCTGAACACTCTTCCTCCAGAGAACTTCCTGGCTAACCTTGCTCACACCTCATTTCACTGATTGACTCAGAAGACCCTTCCTGGCACTCCCATCTAAAATGTTCACACCCACTCTCTGAAAGGTCTCAAATCCCTTTCTTAGTTTGTTTTGTTTTGTTTTGTTTTCTCCAGGAAAGCAAGGATTTTTGTTGTGTTCATTTGCAGATTCCCAGGGCCTAGAACAGGACCTGGCACGTGGTGCACCCCCAGTTTTGTTAAACAAATGAAAGTGTCCCGGAGGTGAAGTCATTTCTCTAGTGGCACAGGGAGGCCCAAAGGACTTGCCTAATGCAGCCTCTCCCTGAGATCCCCCGCCCTCTAACAGGTAACAGGAACCAGTTTGCCCCCACCGAGAAAGAGTGGGTGGTCAGCCACCCCCATGTCTGGCCAACAGCTACCCCAGAGCCCTTCCATCCCCACCCTCTACTCCCCCCGGTGCTTCACCCGGAGACCGGCAGCAACTTCCACATAAGCGTTTATTTCTCCTTTCAGGGGAAGCCTGGGGTAAGAGTCAAGAAGGTCTACTCTCTCTTGCTCACATCCAGGTCCTCCCTCAGACTTCTTCTTGTCCACCTCCAGCTGAGGTCATCGGCCTGGCTGTCGCTGGGGACAAGGGAGCCCCTGGCTCAGAGATGCCCTGCTCTTCAGCAGGGAGGCCCCGGCTCCTTCAGCCTGCGGCCCACGAAGCCCAGGGAGCCGCCCAGGAGAGCCTCTCCTCCCATGTGTTCCTCCATGCGGGGGCCACCCTGTGGCACAGACTCGCCACACTTAAGCTCCTTTGCATCCCGACACTTCGCTGTGGATTCTGTGATGCTGGGAAGGGTCACCTGTCCTTCTCTTTGTAAAATGGGATGAAACACCTACCTTTCGTGGTTCTTGTAGGAATTGAGATGATGTGGGTAAAAGGCCTGGCCAAAGAAGGTCCTAATAAAGGTTGACTTCATTATCCTCACCTGAGACGGGTTTCTAGGAGGCAAGGACCCTCACTGTAATCCCTTCCCTGGGCTCAGTCCCTTGCCAAGGTGATCTCTAAGGCAGGTTCCCAGAGCACGCCCCCCTCTCTGACCCTCAGCACGATGTCTGCCGGCCCACCGTCCACCCCTCACCCCCAGCCTTCCTCTCCTTCCCCACACCTACACAGCACCACGGGTCACTCCTGGGGTCTGGTTGCACTTCTTCTTTTAGTCCGTCTCGGGATATGGGGCCACATGGGGTGGGAGTGCTACTCTGCTGCCCCAGAAAGGCTATAGGGCAGGCAAAGACACGCCCACCCCTGGCCGCCCTCCCTTTGAGTATTCCAGGCTGGAGCCGAAGAGGGCCATCCAGCCGTTCACTGCTTTCCTCCCAAGACCCACGGATCCAGGAGACCTTTAGGAGGTATAGAGAGGGAGCCCCAAGCCCCGGCCCCTCTTCCAGCGCTGTCATACCCAGTGGGACCACGTCCTCGGCTGCCATGCCTCAGCCTCCCTGTCTTCCCCAAGCAGCATTTTCAGGCTCGGGGCAATAGTCCGGGTGGTCACTTTGGGGTTGCTGGGATAGGGAGGCGGCATGCGGGAACATCAGCTGAGCACTGTCTGCCTGGTGCTCAAAAGCTAGCCACGAGGCAAAGGCCCTCACCAGCAGCCTTCCCAAGAGGGCTTGCTCCCACTCCACCATCCCTGCATGTCCGGGGCTGCACGTCAGAGTGCACAGCCTTGGACTCCAGGTCCCCCGCAATCCTCCTGGTGTTGGCTCGCAGCCAGGAAGAAGTCAGAAGCCCCTAGAAAGCCCTGATTCCTGGCTGGGGTCGGTCTGCAGCTGCATGGCCTGTGTGGCCCCTCAGCCTCAGCAGGGAAGGTGGCAGCTCCCAGGCCCCACCTGTGCTGCCCCGAGGTCCTGAACCCCGAAGAGGGTGGGCTCCTGTCTCCTGCAGTCGCCACCGATGCCAGGGTCACTGGGGTCTTATAAGGCGAGGCCAGGGGAGGTGGGTCCTGGAGGGTCCATTCCTCAAGTGTTGGCTTCAAGCTGACTGAGCCGTGGGGCACACAGGTCCTGGGAGCTGCCAAAGGGCAATGTACTAGGAGAGTCAAGGTCACCAAGGCTTTTTCTGCTCCCCGAGCTGGCAGGGGATGGGGACGTCCTCTTCTGTTTCTACAGCTGCTGACAAGGGCGAAACTGTTTGACCCACCTCTCCCACAGCGAATACCCTGGAGAGAAATACATTCTTGACTTTTCTCGGAACTCACGTCTGAGCTTGAACTAGAATAGAGGCTATTCTCTCCAGCTGCGGTCCTTCACCTCCTAGTACCCACTTCCCCCCCGCCCCTCATCTCTGAAAAGCAGCTCCAGGCCCCGCCACCTCCAGGAGCAAGCCCACCCTCTCTGTTCCTGCTTTTCCTCGGTGACCTTCTGGATTATACTGGTGTGGCCCAGATGGCTCACATCTGGCTTTATAATGACATCTTGTCATTTATTTCGCAGACGGCCGAGTCTGGCCAATCTCAAGAACTCAGCTCAGGGTGTCTGTTAAATATATGTGTCTTCTCAAAGTCCGGTGCCCAGAAATCCCCACTGGTAACAATTCCATTCATTTCATGGTTCTCGAGAGTTCCAAAGAATTTTTGCTTCCGTGAGCTGCTTCGTTCCTTCCAGTGACTCAGCAAAGCTGGTGTTGTGATACGTAACTTCCAGAGGAGGAATCTGTACTGATACGTAGGTGAGGCAGAACTCGAACCCAGGTCTGACAGACAGGAGGGGCACCCCGCTATCAAAGAAAGGATGCATAAGGAAATGAATGGTAATGTAAACATTAGTAACATAATATCTGCCTGTAGAAGTGTCAGTGCCTTTATGTCCACTGTATCACTTTGACCTTGTGAGGGAACAGGAAAGGACCCATTGCATAGGTAATGAAACCGAGGCTTACGTGGCTTTCCTAGGGTTACACTGGCGCCCAGCTCACCCTATGGCTAGGAAGGACTACATTTTGCAAAGAAAGTGACAGAGATGCTGGGGTGTGCCTGAGCTCGCACAGCTAGAGAGGAGAGCGGGAGACCAGGGAATGTCCTGAGCCTCCTTCTCCTCCAACCGGCCTGCCTCCGCGCCTGGCTCTGAGGCAGGAGCCCACTCCTCTGGACGGTGCAGGAGGCCCTCCCCATACCAGCCCCTACCGGCCCAAGTCTTCCATGACATCCGATCCAGCATCGCCTGCCCTGACATCGCTGTCTTGGCAGGCGCCCCGGTACTGTGCAGGCAGGCACAGGGTTGCGGCCGGCTCCATAAAATCAGCAGTCGTTGGCTTGAGCTAGCTGATTCTGCCCCCCTGGAGTTTAGCTGTGACAGCAATGAATCACACTAACGGTGAGAGGTGGCATTCTTCCTTTGTGGCCTGGAGACAGGTATTTCCAAAGCTCCTCCCCCGGCTCAGGCAAACACACCTGATCTCTCTCTCTGGACCCAGACGCGGCAGAGCAGCCAAGGACAAGGTGGGGTGAACTAGATAGAGCTGGACAGCCCTGCCAGCCTGGCTTTGCCAGGCCACCCCTGCCAGCCCATGATCAGTGGGACGCCAGAGACCTCCTCCCCAGAGGAAGGAGAGAAAGAGCCCGGTGACCTTGGCGTGTGCTTCAGCCTGGCATCCCCCTCACCCACCCCACCCTCCCTGCTGCTTGCGCTCTACCTCTGACTCTCTTCCAAGAACAATTCGGCAAGTTCCAATCCACGACCTGCAAAAAACCCAGAGTGGTGGTGAGGGCCACAGCCCGGGGGGCCCAGAAGGCAGATTGACCTATTTTTATGTGGTGTTAAGTAAACATAAACACCTCCATGCAAATAGACTTGAAAATCTTTGGAGTGGAATTCATGGGGAGGGGGCAGTATTTGGGAGGTAAAATGCGCAGGACACCTGGGATCACTGTCTGAGGCCAGGGGACTCAGCATTCCCTTCTGGGAAGTGGCGCGACATGCCAGCGTCCCTGTATAACCAAGTTACAGTTCCTATATCCAACCAAATTACAGATTGCGGTCACGCTGAGTGGAGCGCAGACATGGTTCTGCCCAGCATGGAGTGCTGGTCCAGAAGGGAAGACACACATTAAATAGCAATCCATGCCTGGATTCTGGATTCTTCTTCCCTGGCTCTACAGCCCTAGACAAGAAAGGGAGAAGGGGCTTGCCCATTATGTGTGGGGGTGGGATGGGGTGGGGCGGGAGGGGTTGTTCCCCAATTTCAGTCTGGGCCTGGGTAGATTAGGCCATCCTGGGTAGATTCTCTTAGTCCATCTTGGCCAGAGGATCCCATCCCCTTGAATACTTCCAGTGACGGGGAGTTCACTCCAGTTTGGGATTATCACGGCTGTGGGAACCAAGGACTCCCCCACACGAGGCCAAATCCTGCCTCCTCCCATGTGCACTTGGAGGAAAAGTTTGCACCGCAAACTTTCCTCTGCTGTGCAGAGGGAGACAGGCTTGGAGCTGGATGGGCCTGGGCTGGACCTTGGCTTTGCCCCCAGGAGAGCAAACTCACGCCAGTCCCACTGAGGGGCAGTTTCCTCATCTGTAAAACTGAGATACCATCAGGCAGTGCTGTGAGTTCCGAATGAGTTGATCTGTGTGACGTGTCAGCCCAGGGTTCGGCACATATTAGCTGCTTTATTCCGTTATTAATAATAATATTATTGCCATTATTTTGATCATCACTTTCTTTGACTCTTCATTATGTGTCTTATTTCCAGGCCATAAGGCACAGAGCGTAGTCTCGCTAGTGTATGCCCTAAAGGGCCAGCCAGGTTCCAGGTGTGGTCACACCAAGCCAGGTGATCCTCTCCCTTTGGACCTCAGCCCTCCGCTACAGAGGGAAACCAGGCCGTGTGGCGCGCCAGAGGGAACTCAGGAGACAGACAGCCTGGGCCCGGTTCCTAGCCCCTCTACCAGGCAGCTGTGTGACCTACACCAGCCACAAATTTACCAGAAGTGTGACTATCCTACCTACCTCAGAAATAAGGCTGGGTTAGCAGGAGGCAAAAGAGTGGGTGCTGAGAGGCAAAGGAGGGAAAACTCTTTTCTATATATGCTAGAGCTGGTAACATCACTCTGTTATGAACAGGATTACCATGAGAAAACTCAGAATCTCCCCCATTAGATTTCCTCACACTTACTGTAGAGTTTAAGGCTTTAATAACGAATGTGGGGAGGTACCCCCAATCTTTTGCGTTCCTGGGGCCTCTGAGGGTCTTCCTCTGGCCAAGCTCTGAAACTGCTACAAGCCTTGTAAATTCCCTGACCCCCGAGTGTCCCACCAACAGTGGTCAGTAGCTTACTCACAAACTTGAGGTGCAACGAGAGGTTTTTTAGCCTCCATAATCACAGAGTCGACAATATTGAGCTAGATCTCAGTGAAAGCCTCCGTTTTTTCAAAGACCTGGGGGAGAGAGGGCAGGGCAGTTGCCGAAGCAGGACGGGCAGCCTCCGTGTCCCAGGGGTGGCCGGGAGGTAGCTGGAGCCCCGAGGCCCTCGGGACCAGCAACCAAGAATTCTGCAGCTCTAAACAACTCATAGAACCTAGATAGACTCCTTGAAGGTTTGGGGGGGCAGGGCATGAAGTCACGTTAGAACAAGACTTAGTCCTTGCCCCCGGGAACGGTGACTCACGATAAAAACACACAAGACGCACAGGGATGGGGGCGCACACCAGCGACCTCCCAGAGGATCAGCTTGCAGCCAGGCTCATTTGGCCAACAGTCCTTTCCCAAAGACTGAACTGGAATGTCTTTGGGAGGACACTGTCGGTGACCCCTGGCCCCTACAAGCTATCTCGGGTCACAACGGCACTCACAAATGGATATTATCTACCTGGCCTCCAGAGTTTGGAGCCGAGGTACGGATCCTTAAATGTGAAAATAAAGGCAGGACCCTGTGTGACCGGAGCACAGAAAGGAAGGGACTCATTCTACCTGAAGTCCAGGAAGGCTTCACAGAGGAGGGATTTGGGTTTGGAGAGAGATGAAAGTGTAAGTAAGGGCTCTGATCACAACCCAAGTGACCCACCCACACCCTCTTTGCCAAGTCCCTAGATAGTGGCCCCAGAACTGACCAAAGGGAGAGGTTAGAACCTTTGGTTCTCGG